TGGTGGGGCAATGTGCTCTTTGAGCTATGGCCAGGCCATGTTTCCTGGCTTTGGCTCCTCTACCTTGGGGAGGTGAATTCTTTCTTTCTTTCTTTCTCTTTCTCTCTCTCTCTCTCTCCTCTCCTCTCTCTTTCCTCTCTCTCCCCCTCTCTATCTTTCTCTCTCACTTTTAAGTGAAGTATATTTCCCATGCTACTAAAAAGGAAAATACGGTATAGTGCATGCTCATCAACAGCGATGTACGTTTGAGGGTGCAGGAGTCTGAAGATACCATGCTATGAGATTTTTGCCTTTTTTTGCCTCCTGAAACAGGGTCTCACTCTGTCACCCTGGCTACAGCGCAGTGGGATGATCCTGGCTCACTGTAGCCCCGACCTCCCGGGTTCAAGCAACCCTCTCACATCAGCCTTCCTAGTAGCTGGGACTTCAGGCATGTGTCACGAAGCCTGGGTAGTTTATTTTTTGTAGAGAGAATGTTTCACTATGTTGTCCAGGCTGGTCTTGAACTCCTGGGTTGAAGCAATGATCAGCTATGAGCTTTTCAATGTACTGACATAAGCAGCCTAAGTCAAAATACACAGAGAATAACTCAAGTACTAAGTATGATTATCCAAAATCATACTTACCTAAGTGTATAGACCCAAGTGTATACCTAAGTGTATGTTGTTTTGATTTCACACACACAATTGTTCTAGATGCTTCAACCTCAAAATCTTAACGGCATTATTATTGTCTGCTATATTATTCTGAGATGGGAAAAAACAATGTTGGAGGAAAACGTGATTCATTAATAGGGAGATTTAAATTGTCTTACTTAAAATATGAGAACTATATACATTTGGAATAAAACAGTTGCAAATTATAAGACCAGCAGTTAAATGTGAGTCCTGCTCAAGAATATGGTTTGCTAGCTGGGCATTCTGGCGTGTGCCTATGTTGCAGCTACTTGGAAGGCTGAGGCGGAAGGATCGCCAGAACCCAGCAGGTCGACACTGGGGTGGCTGTGAGCATGCCACTGCCCTCCAGCCTGGGCAACAAGAATAAGACTCCAACTCAAAAAAAAAGGTTTGCTGGTAGTTTTGATTAAACTCTGATATACCTGTTCTCTTCTGTTTCAAAACTAAGACTAATTTTTTGACAATCTTTGCCAAACAGTAGCTACTGTCATTCAATAGAGAAGGTGGCCTTCTCTATTTCCCCTGCTTTATTTCTTCTGCATACTCAGTTCCTAGCAATCTATTTCTCTCTTCCCATAAAAATCCCTAAGGTCATGGTGTGCTCTATTTCTTGGTTAGTTGGTAGAGCATTTCTTTCCTATCACCGACTGTGCCCTTCTGGCTAGGAAGAGTGCACTGAATACAATCGGCATGATGACTACCATCACGGTTTTACTTTCCTGCCTACCTTCATGCTGTCTGAATTGGACTATTTAACCCCAAAAGGAAGTGTCAAAGGGTCGGGGGGCATGGTGGCCCAAGCCTGGAATTCTAGCATTTTGAGGCAAGAGGAAGTTTGAGGCCAGTCTAGGCAACTTAATGAGATCTCAACTACCAAAAATTCAAAAACTCCCTGGGTGTGGTGGCGCATGCCTATAGTCCCAGCTACTCAGGAGGCTGAGGCAGAAGGATCGTCTGAGTTCAGCAGGTCGAGGCTGCGGTGACTGTAAGATTTCAACACACACACACATAAAATTTAGCTGAAGTATTGCTTGAGCCAAGGGGGTTGAGGTTATAGTGAGTCGTGATTGTGCCACTGCACTCCAGCCTGGGTGACACTGTGAGACTCCAACTCAAAAACAAATGCAAAAAAACAAAAACCAAGGCAGTGTCCTTCCAGGAAATTGGATAGAAATGATTGTCACCTAATGAAGTCAGCCCTGGCATTCTATTGATTCTTTCCCAAAGACCACAGTGAAAGACCTGAAGGAAAAGGCACATGAAGATATTTCAAAGTTCAGGCAGAAAGTCACACAGAGCAAAGTAGACTTAAAAAAAATCCAAAAAATTATTTTTTTTTTATAGTCTCACTCTGTCACCCAGGCTGGAGTGCAGTGGTATGTTCATGGTCATCACAGCCTCAACCTGCTGTCCTCAAGCAATCTTCTACCTCAGCCTTCCAAGTAGCTGGAACCACAGGCGTGTGCCACCACGCCCAGCTAATTTTTTGATTTCTTGTAGAGACAAGGTCTTGCCATATTGCTCAGGCTGGTCTTGAACTTGTGGGCTCAGGCAATCCTCTCACCTTTGCCTCCCAGAGTGCTGAGATTATAGGCATGAGCCACTGAACAAGGGAAAAAAAATTTAAAATTTTTTTGGGAAAGATTTATTGAGAGGACAGAAAAGCTCCCACAGCAGGAGGGGACCCGAGACGATTGCCCAAAAAAAAAAAAAAAAAAGTATAACCTAAATGTAGCTGATAATTTTCAAACATCCTTGCACCTTTGACGTATATCTTGTTATGAGTAAATATCTGAGTTGTAAAGACTCTCACAAATAACGATCTCATGCTGTGTAAGGTATGATTTGTGAGTAAAGACCTTATTACATACATTTTTTTGGGTCTCTCCCCCCCAGTATGGATTCTGTACTTTGCAAGGTGAGAATGTTGACTAAGACATTGCCACATTCATTACATTTGTAAGGTTTCTCTGTGTTATGAATTACCTGATGGATATTACCAGCCTTGAACACATGCTAAATGATTTGTTACATTCATTGTTTGTAAGTCAAATATATTTTGACTTGTAATTATTCTGCAGCATGTAATATCACAGATTAATACTAGCATGCTAGAGACTGAGTTGTTATTACTATTATTATTATTGAGACAAGCTGGAGTGCAGTGGTGCAATCATGTTTCACTGCTGACTCAAAGCTTTGAACTCCTGGGCTTAAGTGATCCTCCTGCCTCAGCCTCCCAAGTAACTGAGACTACAGGTATGAGCCACCATGGCAGGGCAATTTTTTTTAAAAAAATGTATGTAGAGATGGAGTTTTGCTCTGTTGCCCAGGTTGGTCTTGAACTCCCAGCCTCAAGTGTTCTTCCCACCTCAGATTCCCAAAGTATTGGGATTGCATGAGTGAACCATGGCACCGAGCTCCCCTGACAGAATTGCCTGTTTTCTGATCCTGGTGCTATTATGTATGAGAGACTCTTCCAGGCTTACTCACTTTTTCTTCTGAGGATATTGCTCTGGGTCTACTTCCTGTAATTAATAAAGTTCAATAACAGTAAAGTATATTTGCTTATACAATTTCCATATTCATTGACACTGAATTGTGAAAATGAGACTAATTGACTTTGAATTGTGCAAACTGGTTCAGTGATTTCCAGTGTAAATTATTGGCATCATGTTATATTTTTACTTGTATTTCTTTGAAAATCCTTTTCAGGTATTTTTGTCATATTCCATTTCTCTACTAATAACTGAAATGATTATCAGAAAAGAACTAGACTTTGAGTGAAAAACTTCAGAGAAGCAAATAATACGAGACATACATACCTCCCTGCCAGTCCTTCACATGTCAGGCCTCAGAATTTCCTGCTCCCTCCATATGAGACCCTGTCTGCCTCCAGGGATCATGACAAAGAGCCTCTACAAATGATCTAATAGTGTCTTAGGAGAGCCTAGATAGAAACATCTAATTGTTTTTGATAACTGGCAACTGGGAATAAAGTTTTCTGAAATGTTCTCAGCTCCCAAGCCTGCATGCCCTTTGCTGCTGCAGGTAAAATGACAATTGCAATTCCTGGGGGTGGTGAAGTCACAGAATCCCAAACCCACATCAAAGTGTCTGGCTTTCCCTCTCCCACATAAATACTGGCCGTAGTGACCGTGACACAGAGCTTGCCATCCCGGCAAAGATAAAAAGCTGATGAGTATTTTTATTTCAGTCTGAGTGGCAGAGTCTGTAAGGGAAACCCATATCAAGAGTGTCTGTGTTGATGTCAGGAAAAGGGATTCTTCTGGACTGAACCAGTGCCTAAGACACAGGAAGCAGGAAAAATTTCTGAGGAATGGTCTGAGCTGCTAAACAGAAATAAGGTCTTAGACTCTGTACCAATTCATGACAGCTTCCAATTTAATGTAGTTCTCACTTTATTGTGGTTTCACCTAAGTGATACTGAAATGCAATGTGCTTAAGGATGTCATTCTGAAAGGGCACAAACTATCAGTTATAAGTTCTGAGGAAATATACAGTAGCATTGTTTTTGCTTGAGTCAGGGTCTCTGTCACCCAAGCTGGCATGCCGTGGCATGATTGCAGCTCACCGTAGATTCGATCTCCTGGGCTCAGGTAATTCTCCCACCTCAGCCTCCCAAGTAGCTTGTACTACTAACTTTTTTAATGTTTTGTAGAGATAAGGTCTTGCTATGTTACCCAGGCTGGTCTTGAACTCTTAGGCTCAAGCAGTCCTCCTGCCTTAGCTTCCCAAAGTGCTGAGATTATAGGTTTGAGTCACGGTGCCCTGCCTGCATGGTGACTGTCATAAAAAGTACTGCATTGTTTATTTGAAAATTTGAGAGTAGATTTTAAGCGTCCTTACCTATCGAACACACAGAATATTAAGTGCAGTGATGGATTTGTTAACTAATTTGTGGCAATTGACACACAATGTATATGTATACACATATAAAATTATCACCTTGGCCAGGCGCGGCTGTAGTTCTGGTAGATATGTCTCGCCAAGTTGCCCAGGCTGGTCTTGAACCTCGAACCCCTGAACTCAGGCAATCCTCTCACCTCGGCCTCCAAAAATGCTAGGATTATAGACTTGAGCCACCGCACCCAGCTCAGAAGTAATCATCTGCCTACAAGTAAAGAATTATTTGGAAAATCTTGATGTCAAACTTTCACCTTAAAGCTTTTCCATATTAAATACATTCATAAGGTTTTCTCCACTATGGATTAGCTGATGGTAATTAAGCCTTCAACAGAAACTAAAGGCTTTCCCACATTCATTATGCTTGCAAAGTTTCTCTGAACTATGAATTCTCCAATCTCTTACAAGGCTCTAATGCTGATTTAACACTTTGCCACATTAATTGCATGTGTTAGGTTTCTGTCCAGTGTGAAATCTCTGATGACGTGCAAGGTATGAACTGTCACTGAAGAATTTGCCACATTCATTACATTTGAAAGGTTTCTCTCCAGTATGGATAACATAATGGTTATTAAGGCTTGAACGCACACTAAAAGTTTTGCCACACTCATTACATTTGTAAGGTTTCTCTCCAGTATGAATTCTCCGATGATGCGCTAAAGATGAGTTTAGACTGAAGACTTTCCCACATTCATTACATTTGTAAGGTTTCTCTCCAGTATGAATTCTCCGATGGCATACAAGATATGAATTTTGACTGAAGACTTTGCTACATTCGTTACATTTGTAAGGTTTCTCTCCGGTATGGATTCTCCGATGATTTGCAAGGTGTGAATTCTGACTGAACATCTTGTCACATTCATTACATTTATACGGCTTCTCACCAGTATGAATTATCAGATGTTGTGCAAGGTATGAATTGCGACTGAACACCTTGCCACATTCATTACACTTGTACGGTTTCTCTCCAGTATGAATTCTCCAATGATTTGCTAGGGATGACTTGTGACTGAAGACCTTGTCACATTCATAACATTTGTAAGGTTTCTCCCCAGTATGAATTCTCCGATGTTGTGCAAGGTGTGAAATATGATTGAAGACCTTGCCACATTCGTTACATTTATAAGGTTTCTCTCCAGTATGAATGATCAGATGTTGTACAAGGTAAGAGTTGCGACTGAACACCTTTCCACATTCATGACACTTGTAAGGTTTCTCTCCAGTATGAATTGTCCGATGTTGTGCAAGGTGTGAAATTTGATGAAATACCTTTCCACATTCATCACACTTGTAAGGTTTCTCCCCAGTATGAATTCTTCGATGTTGTGCAAGGTGCGAAATTTGACTGAAGTCTTTGCCACAGTCATTACATTTGTAAGGTTTCTCTCCAGTATGAATTCTCTGATGTTGCGCCAGATGTGAAATATTATTGAAGACTTTGCCACATTCATTACATTTGTAAGGTTTCTCTCCAGTGTGAATTCTCCGATGACTTGCAAGATTTGATTTTTTATTGAAGACCTTGCCACATGTATCACATTTAAATTGCTTCTCTTCAGTATGAATTATCTGATGTATAGTAAAATGTAAGGTTTGATTGAAGGCCTGGTCACACTTACTGCATTTGTAATGTTCTGCCCCAACATTTGCTTTCTCTTTTTGTGCAAATAAAGAATCCATAAGATCATACTCATATTTATGAGAAATGTGGGTTTTGGCAGAAGAAATATTTTGGGGGGAAACTAAGGAACCATTGTTGATAGATTTCTCAACAAGACTGCATTCATATATTTCCCCTTGAACTTGAAATAGCTGTAGTTCTGGTAGATGTGTCTGAAAGCTTAGTCCAAACTGATTTTTAATGGGCTTGTTTCTTCTACCATGCCAATCTCTTCTTCCAATGAGGCTTTCTTCAGAGGTCACACATAGCCCTTGGTAATGTCTTTCATCATGTCTCCACAGTCTCTCAGAATCATGTATATTTTTCTGGATTTCCCTGAAGTAAAAATCTTTTATGTCATGATTTTCATGTCTTTCCACCGTCACTGTTTGGAACACTCCTCCTGTATTGCTGTTCTCTTTTGGTGGTAATTCCTTCATCACACATATTGGAGAGATACCTATGAGATATAAAAAATTAGATTTCCAAATAATTGCAGGTGATCCATCAATATCTCCTATTGAAGTACATAACATTACACCAAGGGTAATAAATCTTATTAAATAAAGTTTTCAGTCTTTAAAAAACATGCAAGATTCTTACCCATCTACCAACACCGACTTCTTAAAGAAAAAAAACTTGGAATAAATTATTATTTTCAAATAAAGGCAGCAGGTGCACAGTGTTTCTGTATCTAACCCCAATTTACACAGATTTCATCCTGAGCTTGCAGGCCCAGATATGTTCTTAAGAGTGGCTACTAGGGATTGGCAATAGTGGGGATACTGCCAGGGTGGGGAGGAAGTGGGGGAGTGGGGAGCACAACATCAGTAAAGGCACTTGATCTCAAACCAGGCAAAGTGGGGACCAAAGGGAGGCCCAAACTACCTGTACGATATCCACTCATATACCTAATTCTGAATTGTACCACACATCAAAAATAAAATATAAAATAAGCCAGGCTCAGTGGCTCAGCCTGTAATCCCGCACCTTTGGTTGACTGAGGTGAGTGGATTGCCTGAGCCCGCGGGTTCGAGACCCACCTGGGCAACTTGGCGAGACCTCATCTCTACAATAAATCAAAAAATCAGCCGGGCATGGTAGCGCATGCCTGTAATTCCGGCTACTCGGAAGGCTGAGGCGGAAGGACTGCCGGAGCCCAGCAGGTCGAGGCTGCAGTGGCTGAGAGTGGCCACTACACTCCAGTCTGGGCAACAGAGTGAGATTCTTACTCAAAAAAATTAAAAAAATTAAAAATAGAAAATAAAACAAAAATAGTTAATTAATTAAATAAAGGATGCTATTCAGGCAGTACAGAAAACAAAATACCAAATAAAAGCATAGGAAAGCAAAGGTCAAGGGAGATATAAGAACTGAACTTTGTTACTAATTGTTTTGCTCAGTCATCCTTCATAAATAATGGTGTGTGAGTGAGTCATCGCCCAATCCATGCACATACAGATTTAAACTGTCCTGTAAAAGCTGTCCAAAAATCAGCCGGGCGTGGTAGTGCATGCCTGTAATTCCAGCTACTCGGAAGGCTGAGGCGGAAGGATCGCTGGAGCCCAGCAGGTCAAGGGTGCAGTGGCCGGGAGTGGCCACTGCACTCCAGTCTGGGTGACAGAGTGAGACTGACTCCAAAAAAAAACGCTATCCAGTAAGTGAGCAAGTGTATTTCCCTTGCACCATGGTCTCCCTACATTGCTAGGGAGTAGTTTGAGTGGTAAAGGGGTTCTGGGGAAATTGGAGGGGTCAGGAAGACAAAAACTAGTATGTTAAGAAGTGAACATATAGTCTACCCAGATCCAGAAACCGCATGAGGGAAGGTGAAGGACAGAAGAAAGATAAGAGTGAAATGAAGAAAACAATGAACAGAGACCATGTGTGCTGAAGGATGAGCCCCTGGCTGAGTGGAATAGTGTTTGGGAAAACAAAACAAGTAGGAGTCTGTTGCCAAGGTCTGCCCTTGATGATATAAATGAACTTAAAAAAATTTAAAAGCCCTCATAAATTATAATGGTAAGTAATGGCTTTAAAATAGGCATGCAGGAACAGACAGTGTGCTTGCAAATCAAAGAAATATAATTGGACGACATCAGTTAAAATTTTGATCTTGGTAGAAAAGAGGAATTGATTTAGTGAAGAGTATAGGCATTTCAAGCCAATATGAGTGCAGTGATGTTTAATAAATCTAACTTATCACAAAGTTACCCTGTCTAATTTCTGCTATTATAGTATTTCTTCCCCAAGTGAAATCTTTGATATATAATGGTTGAAGGATTCTAGTAAAGACTTTGCTACCTTTCTGCTATCACAGAATTTTTTTTTTTGCTGCACATCTGTAATATATAAGACGTAATTTATTACTGAAAGGGTCACATTCACTTCATTTGCAAGGCTTATTCCATTCAAATTCCTGATTAGTTACTAAGGCTAGACTTCTTGGAAATGGCTGTTGCATAATTAACTACATTTCCAGTCCCTAGAAGGTCACTGATGTTTAATAAGGGCTGGGTACCAGAAGAAGGCATTTCCACAGAAACTGTGTTCATAGGGCTTTCTCCTTGTATGAATTCATTCATGTATAGAGAGGTATAACTCCCTAAAGAAGGTTTCTCCACTTTCAGTGAATTTATAGCTGTCTCTCCTGTGTGAATTTTCTTAGGTTTAGTAAGAACGGACTTGTGGGCAAAGGCTTTGCCACATTCAATGCAGGAGCAAGGTCTCTCTCCAGTATGAGTTCCCAGGTGCTAATGAGCTCTTACTTGCTTCTAAAGGCTTTGTTGTACTCATTACTTTCATAAGGTTTCCTTCCAGCATGAATTCTCTGATGTCTGGTAAGGTGTGACTTTAAATGGAAGGTTCTTCCACATTCAGTGCATTCATAAGGCTTCTCTCCTGTATGAAGTCTCTGGTGTACATTGAGATATGCCTTTTGGGAAAATGCTTTCCCACACACACTGCATCCATAGTGCTTCTCTCCAGTATGAGATCGCTGGTGTCTAGTAAGCTGGAACCTACTACTGAAGCATTTCCCACATTGGCTGCATGAATACGGTCTCTCTCCAGTATGAGTTCGCAGATGTTGTGTGAGGTGTGACTTGCGTTTAAAGGCTCTGTTGCTCTCATTACATTCATGGGTTTTCTCTCCTGTGTGAGTTCCCACAAAGTCCCATTACCCTCCTTGGGTCTTCCCCAGGTCCATCTGGGACAGAAAGCTATGTCAAGCTTAGAACCCTCATAGGGCTCACAGCAAGTCTGAGCTTAGAGTGTCCTCAGGAACACAACAGTCAGTCTGTTTAGAATCCCTGGAGGCACTCCTAAGCAGGACAGGTTCAAACAAAGCCAGACTGTCAAGACTAAAATAAGTATCTAATTGTTCAATGCTCAGACATTGTCATATTGCCACAAGCCTTCATGACATCACCAAACTGACAAAATTAAGTGCCAGGAATTGCTGGGCTCGGTGGCTCAGCCTGTAATCCCGCACTTTGGGAGGCGGAGGTGAGTGAATTGCCTGAGCCTGCAGGTTCGAGACTCTCCTGGGCAACCTGGCAAGACCTCATCTCTAGAATAAATTTTAAAAAATTAGCCGGGCGTGGTACCGCGTGCCTGTAGTTCCAGCTACTTGGAAGGCTGAGGTGGAAGGATCACCGGAGCCCAGCAGGTCAAGGCTGCGGTGGCTGGGAGCAGCCACTGCACTCCAGTCTGAGGGACAGAGTGAGACTCCAACTCAAAAATAAATAAATAAATAAATAAATAAACAAAGTGCCAGGAATCAACCCTAAAGTGATAAAAATAGATGGTCCTCAAAGACTTCAAAATAGCTGTTTTAAGGAAGTTCAACAAAATTCAACAAAACATGGCAAATTAATACGGTCATTAAAAAATTCAACAAAACAAACAATTTGGAAATTGCTCAGAGAAGTTTAATTTTTAAAAGTCAAATGGAAATCCTGAAGCTGAAAAATACAACAAATAAAATGAAAAAAAAAAAGAAACCATCAACAGTGGAACTGATGAAACAGATAAAAGAATCAATAAGTATGAAGACAGACTAAAAAATACAGTCAGAAAAAAAGAAACAAAAATGAAAAGAAATTAACAAAGTTTACAGGATCTATGGGAAAACATCAAATGAGCAAATATTTGGGTTACTGGAGTTAAAGAGATAACCGAGAAAGACAAAGGTGTACAAAGATTATTTACAGAATAAGAGAAAACTTTCCAAACCTGAAGAAAGATATAAATATCCAAGTACAGGAAGGTCAAAAGTCACTAATCAGAGTCAACCCAAAAAAGAATGCCCCAGATATATTGTAATTAAATCTCAAAGGTCAAAGAAAAAGAGAATGCTGAAAGCAATGAGAGAAAAACGCAAATAACGTAAGGGAGATCCTATGTGCCAAAAAGCAGAATTCTCAGCAGAAACCTTACTGGCCAGAAAGAAGTTGGATAATACACACATCACTGAAGGAAGAATTGCCAACCAACAATACTATATCTAGCAAAGATATTCTTCAGAAATGAAAGAGAGATAAAGACTGTACAAGATAAACAAAGTTGAGAAAATTTATTATTACCAGATCTGTGCTACAAGAAATGCTAATAGGACTTCTTCAAATGGAAAAACTGGACACAAACTTGATTGTTATACTGATACTATAATCACAATTTTTTTTTTGAGTTGGAGTCTCACTCCATTGCCCAGGCTGGAATGCAGTGGCATGTTCACAGCCACCACAGCCTCAACCTGCTGGGCTCATGCAATCCTTCCGCCTCAGCCTTCCAAGTAGCTGGAACCACAGGTGTGTGCCTGTGAGCCACTGTACCCAACCTGGACTCAAATTTTAACCTGTGGAATCTGACTCTAACTCCAGGTAGATGGAGTCAGAACTAAATTGAACTATAGGACAAACAGTTGGTGTCCACTCAAGATTTGGTTGTTGGTGGTGAAAATCCCCACATTTTGGTGACCCGAAGTGAAGCATTCTATGTTGAGTGGCATGTGAGAGTAGGAAAAACACTTTGTTTTTTTTCTTATTTATTATTATTTGTATTACGAGTTTTTTTTTTTAGTTGGGGCCTCACTCTGTCATCGAGGCTAGAATGCAGTGGCATGATCATGGCTCACCGCAGGCTTTACCTTCTGGGCTCAGACGATCCTCCCGCCTCAGCCTCCTGAGTAGCTGGAACTACAGGTGCAAGCCACAACACGTGACTTATTTTTTGATTTTTTTGTAGAGACAAGGTTTTGCTATGTTACCCAGGCTGGTCTCACACTTCGGGGCTCAAGCAATCTGCCTGCCTCAGCCTCCCAAAGTGCTAGGATTATAGGTGTGAGCCTTTTTTTCTTATCTCAAATAGACCTAACAGGCAGAAAAGGCTGGAGATTGATCCACGCAGGTTCTGGGACCCAGACACGAAGCAAGAGCAGACAGTGCTTTTCCGTCTCCTGATTAGGTCTTCCAAGGTCTGGGCAGAACCTGAATGGATCAAGGGGAAAGGTCTGTGGAGGTCTCAGTTCTGATCTATATGAACAGAGACTGAGCATCAGATGGAATCAAGTACACAAGGAGAGACCATGGGGGAAAGAGACCCCTTTGACACAGGTCTCCATGTGCTCCTTAGAGTCAAGGGACCAAAGAGTTCACAGAAGCCAGATAGCAGAGCATTGTCCATCATGATAATGACTTTGTCTCTGTTTGAGCTGCAGCACCACTCAAGGGCAACAGGACAAACTGTTACATGGACAGAATGACAAAGATTTCCATTCAGATCTCACAGGATTTAAACTCTCGTTTTCCCACAGAAGTCTCCCACTCACAGAGAGTTTCCCAAACACTATGCAATGGTGTAGCTGCAGCTCTGCTCATCTGTGCTCTTACCTCTGTTCACACCTTTGATACATTCCCAGCCATCTGGATTTTTTGCTATTTTCACTTCACTCTTCACAATCCAGGGCTCTCTTTCTTGCTCCAACATGGAGATAACAGGAAGGTCAGAAAGAGAGATTCCTGCTCAAAAAAGAAAATAACATGATGTGCTGGGGCCTTGACAGAATCTCAACCCAGTGTTAAGGTAGGAGAGAGGACATCACAGACAGATCTTGGAAAATATCTCACAATTTATCCACTGACTGCCTCCTTCTGAAACGTAGGGAACACTGTAACAGGCAGATATCCAGCTCTCTTCCAAGAACTACTGAATCACAAGCACCAGGGTAGAAGACAGGGAACTGGATATTTTTAAAGTCTGCCATAAGGTTTTACGTGTACTTAGTTCTAGAACCACCTCAGGTATCATGAAGAATACAGAACATCCAAACAAAGGGGTCAGTTAAAGTCCAGATGCCAATTTATGAAGCTCTTCATTTCAGAATCAATAAAGCTTCATTTTAGTCAAGCAAAGATGGGGGTCCCAAGAAGCAACAAGGGAAAACACAAAGGTACACAATGGCACATCCCACCTTCTGGAGGGACGTTATTCTCACCCAGGGAAACCAGGTTTCTGTAATTCTCCAACATCACATCCCTGTACAAAGTCCTCTGAGCAGGGTCCAGGCATGTCCACTCCTCCTGAGAGAATTCTATGGCTACATCCCTGAATGTCAATAGATCCTGAAATGAAAACACATTTTAACTGAAAGGTTATGGAAGGAGTACTTATCTTTACACAAAATCAGAACAGAAGAGAGGTGGAAGCACTGAACCCATTAAAGCAAAAGTTCTCACAAATCCAAGTAAGGTATTTTTGAGCATATTATGTTTCCCTAATTATATTTTATTATACTTTTCAATAAACGGTTATGACACCCTCTAAATAAGTATGACTTTTTTATTTTTGTGGGCAATACAAGAAATATACAGATAAAAAATATCAATGCAGGATTATCTCTACAGAAGTGTCAAGATACTGGTTTTTTGAGGGGTTTTTTTTAATTGGAGTCTCACTCTGTTGCTCAGGCTGGAGTGCAGTGGCACGCTCACAGTCACCACAGCCTCGACTTCCTGGGCTCAACCAATTCTCTCTTTTCAGTCTCCTGAGTAACTGGGACTATAGGTACATACCATGATAGCTGGCTATTTTTATTTATTTTTATTTTTTGTATAGATTATGTCTCTCTGTGTTGCCCACACTGGTCTCAAACTCCTGGGCTCAAGCAATCCTCCTGCCTCAGACTCTGAAAGGGCTGGGATTTACAGATGTGAAAATCCACCATGCCTCACCTCTTTATTTGTTTTTATTTGTGCTTCTGAGATTAGGTATTTTCAGTTGCTCAATCTTCAGTTTTGTTGATCGAGTCTTCTGCCTGTTCAGTACTGCTGTTGAGCCACTTTAGGGTTTTTTCTGAGTCTTGGAAGGCTCAGATAATCCTTTCACCTCAACCTTCCAAGTAGCTGAAACTACTGGCAAATACCACCCTGCCTTGCTAACTTTTTTTGATTTATTGTAGAGATGAGGTCTCGCCAAGTTGCCCAGCTGGTCTCAAACCCGTGGGCTCAGGCAATACTCTCACCTCAGCCTTCCAAAGTGCTGGAATTACGCCCCGTCCAAGAAACTATTTTTGACACACAAAATGATATTCAGTATTTAGATGAGCTGGAGCAAGAGTGAGGTCTTCAGAGGACAACATCCACAGTGGCTTTACACAAAGGTCAGAGACTAAAAACCAAGCAATGAGTAAAGATTTAGGACATTTCCCATGGGCTAGGCGTTATTCTACATGATTTAAATGTACTACCTCATATAAGACCATAGTAACCCATGAGAGAAAGATTTGTTCCCATCTAACTAAGAGATGACTGTCACAGACACTCTAAGAAACTTGCCTTGTCAGGTATGGTGGCTCACGCCTGTAATCCCAAGCACTTTGGGAGGCTGAGGCAAGAGGTTTGCCTGAGCCCAGAAGTTTGAGACCAACCTGGGCAATGTGGTGAGACCTTGTCTCTACAATAAATAAAAAAATTAGCCAAGTGTGGTGGTGTGCACCTGTAGTTCCAGCTACTTGGAAAGCTGAAGCAGAAGGAGCACCTGAGCCCAGAATGCCAAGGCTGCAGTGGCCTTGACGTGCTACTGCACTCTAGTCTGGGTGACAGAGTGAAGTGAGACTCCTACTCAGAAAAAAAAAAAAAAAAGAAACTTGCCTGGGTTAAACAGTTAAAAATGTCAGAGCAAGCATCTGAACCCATGTCTGGGAATTAGAATACAACCTAAAGAATAAAACAGTTAAGTAACAGATATATCATCAAAAACAAATTGAGGCTGGGTGTGGTGGCTCACGCCTATAATCCCAACACTTTGGGAGGCTGAGGTGAGAGGACTGCCTGAGCTCACAGGTTCGAGACCAACCTGGGCAACTTGACAAGAGACCTCATCTCTACAACAGATCAAAAATTAGCTGGGTGTGGTGGTGCGTGCCCATGGTTCCAGCTATTTGGAAGGCTGTGGTGGAAGGATTGCCTGAGCCTAGCAGGTCAAGGCTGCAGTGGCCATGAGCGTGCCACTGCACTTCAGCATAGGCAACAGAGTAAGACTCCAACTCAAAAAAAAAAAAAAAAATTAATAGTAGGTTACCTAATTGAGCAAAGTTGAAACAAGTTCAAGGATAACAACACAGATAGCCATAAAAGGTCATTATGTATGCGCATACACACACGCAAGCACTCACTATAGGACTATGCTTACTGCTATTTAATTCATTAATGTGAAAGCGCATATATTGAAGGCCAAGGAAAATATCTAAGAGATGCTGTAAATTGTTAAAATATAGAACTTATTTATTAAATTATGATGGGCGCTTAATAAAAAACCAAGAATGTGCTGATCCATACACTCATGTGGACATGCACACACATATTTAATTGAAATAAAAGGCGTCCCTCAATGATTTTTTTTCTTGAGTGATTTTTTTCATTACCAGTTTTGCTCATGTGTGTTTCAGCATAGATGGGACAATAAAACGTATAAACTGTTTTTAATGAAGTTCATCAACCTTTTTCTATATTAGGCTAGTAAAAGAATGGTACAAACACGAAAAAACTATAGGAAGCTGTTTTTTTTAACTTAAAAAATTTTACACCGCATTAAATAGTTTATAAATCATGACCAAATGGGATTCACACCTGGAAGACAGAGCAGTTCAACATAAGAAGGGCAATTAATGTAACAAACCACACGATTAACTCAGTGCAGAAAACCTGTTTGGCAAAATTCAGTTATGCTTTCACAGGAAAAAACCCTAAACAAACTAGCAACAAAAGAAAACCTTGGGGCAGGTATGGTGGCTCATGCCTATAATCCCAGCACCTTGGAAGGTGGCGGTGAGAGGATTGCCTGAGCTCAGGGGTTCGAGACCAACCTGGGCAACTTGATAAGACCTTGTCCCTACAATAAATCAAAAAAACTAGCTGGGCATGGTGGCGCATGCCTGTAATTCCGGTTACTTGGAAGGCTGAGGCAGAAGGATCGCCAGAGCCCAGAAGGTTGAGGCTGTGGTGGCCATTAGCATGCCACTGCACTTCAGCCTGGGCGACAGAGAGAGACTCCAACTCAAAAAGGAAAAAAAATTTAAAAAAATTAAAAATAAAAGAAGAAAACCTCAGGACATTGGACTTGGAAAGAATTTCTTGGATATGACATCAAAAGCACAGGCAAGGAGGGCAAAAACAGACAAATGGGACTATGTCCAGCATTAAAAATCCCATGCCTTAAAGAAATTAATCAAAAGAGGGAAAAGAAAAACTACAGAAGGAGAGAAAAGATTTGCAAAAAGTATACGTGATGGGCTTTAATATACAGATTATATGAGGAAACTCTACAGTTCAACAACAAAAACACATAATCCAAGTAAAGAATAAGCAAGAACTTCAGACAGGACTCCAAAAAAGATAAGCAAATGGCCAACAAGCATATGAAAAGATGCTCGTCACCACTGATCAAGACAAATGCAAATAAACACCATAGTGAGATACCACCTCACACCTATGAGGATGGCCATTATAGACAGAACAGAAAACAGCAAGTAGGAGAGAGGATGCAAAGAAACTAGAACTCTCTTGTGCACTGTTAGTGGGAAGGTAAAAATGATGCTCCCATTACTGAAATCAGCAAGGAGGTTTCTCAGAAACTTAACAGGACTACCATGTGATCCAGCAATCCCACTTGTGGGCCTCTATATTAAAGCTTGAGGCGAGGAGCGGTGGCTCATGGCTGCAATCCCAGCACTTTGGTAGGCCAAGGCGGGAGGATCACTGTAGTTCAAGACCAGCTTGGGCAACACAGCAAGACCTCATCTCTACAATAAATAAAAAAAGAAGCCAGGTGTGGTGGTGTGTGCCTATAATCCCAGCTACTCGGGAGGCTGAGGCAGGAGCTCAAGGAGCTCCTCAAGGCTGTGATGAGCTATAATCTTGCCACTGCACTCCAGCCTGGGAACTGGGAAACAGAGTGAGATTCCGACCCAAAAAAAAAAAAAGAAAGAAAGAAAGAAAGAAACACTGAAATACTCTGATCACCTGTATTACCTGTATTACCCTGATGTCTGTGTCTGAATTTTCCATTCCATTTACAATTATTAAGAGTCTGACCAGCCTCGG